GTCTCGTTTGCATCTCTTCTCACTTTCTCCAGCTCTCTTGCAGTTCAGACCCACATTCCACTTGACTTCGGAGTAGCTCTGCTAGCTAAGGCAAGTGCATCACCCAAGCAGTGAAGAGCCTGCAGTGAGGGGAGGGGGAGCAGCCGTCCCTTGAGAGGCCCCTGAGGACGTCAGCTTCTTCACGGAGCTACTGAAATATTTTAGAATAAGAAAGCGTTGGGCTGTGATGAAGAATAGAGGGGACGGTGTTAATGATGACCAGAGGGACCCAGAATATAGAGGAGGACTGCAAAAAGTGAGAAATGAGACAGAGGAGGGGACGGACAGAGACATAGGGAAGTTCCGGTTTTTCCAGATCACCCGGTTTCTTGGCCACCTTTTGGTGATTGTAGTAGAAACAAGGATGGAGGGTCCAGTGGGCTCCGTCTCCACAGCAAAAACTATGATCAGGTTTGTGAGATGGAAGGAAGCAAATTGTGGCCCTTGTTCTGGACACAGGTTTGATAATTTTCCCATCTCATTTCCTTTTATGCTAAAAATCATCTTGACTTGGAAGTGAGGGGAAAAAAAGTTAATGATCTGTTTTGCTCATAACCTTTTTTGTTGCTTTTGACTTTGAGTTGCATCAGCATAGGGAGGCTGTGGCTGTCACCCCAGGGAGGGAGGCTGTGGCTGTAGCCCCGGGTAGGGAGGCTGTGGCTGTTGTCCCAGGATGTTTGCTGTGGAAAAAAAGCCATTAAGTTTTTCTTATCTGTCAAATGTGTCTAGCCATTTCCTCCTGTATAACCACTGCATGGGAAATTTGCACTAATTAAATGTTACAATAATGCAGAAAAGTTTATTTAACACATCACACAGTGCTTAATAGAAGTGCTTAGTAAGTATAATTTGCTATTAAGTGGTAAATGCTGGATTTTCAGCTGCCATTTGGCTCCCTTCTTTTTTTTTTTTTTTTTTTTTTCCGAGACAGGGTTTCTTTTGTGGTTTTGGAGCCTGTCCTGGAACTAGCTCTTGTAGACCAGGCTGGCCTCGAACTCACAGAGATCCACCTGCCTCTGCCCCCCGAGTGCTGGGATTAAAGGCATGCGCCACCACCGCCCGGCTTCCCTTCTTTTTTTGTTGTAGTTGTGAGTTTTGGATTGGTTTTTGCTCCCTTATTCCTACTGTTAGTGTGATGGCTCTACAGCTCTCAGTTCTGTTGTCCCTTTCTCTCCATTCTCCCACATTGCCACCATTGTGTCTTCCCCCTGCCTAATCCTTGTGATTTGGCCCCTGTTCTTACTTCAGCTTTCTTTGTGGCATCATATTGTAGGGAACTCTCGAATGGGAGTGAGACACCCCTCACTGCATGCATTTGAATAGGTGGGAACAGGGTCTTGGGTACTCCAGATGAGGTCCGGTAAAGAGGCTCAGGAAACCTTTATTACAGGCAAAGATTAGCCACTCTGACGTGTGTGGGAGTGACATCGGGCAGAGCAGACTGTGAAGGTGGTGATCATTTGAACAGGAAGGGGCTGGGCCACATAAAAATGTAGAGAGACAAGTAGGGACATGTTCTAGTTCTATGACAGCACCCATCTTTGCTACCACTGTTACCACCACTCTGGTTGAGAACAGTGGCCTTCTGCGTCAGCGCCTTCTGTGGGGCAGGCTTTTGGAGGGGGTACTGAGCAGGGCAGAGTAGAGTTCTTCAGCCATAGATGTGTCGACCATAGATTCTGCATGCACAGATTCACTGACTGGATTGCATGTATTGGAAACACAAGTCTATGCTAAACAAGTTCAGACTTTTGTTTTTATTCCCTGCTCAGCACAGTATGAGGGCTCTCTTTTTTTCAGCATTTACATTTACATCAGGCATTATAAGTCATCTATATATAATTTAACAGGGATATCTAGCCTTTTGACATTGTGACATGACATTGTCATTTACACATGTGTGTGTGTGTGGCCTGCATTCATAGTTGTCTTGGGGCCATGTGACCAGGCCTGGTCTAAAATATCTAGGCAGGTACTAGAGAGGTGGCTCAGTGGTTAAGAGTATATGCCCTGTTCTTTCAGAGGACCCAGGTTCAGTTCCCAGGACCCACATTGGGCAGCTCACAGCCACTTGTAACTTGGTTTCTAGAGGCCTGGTGTCCTTCTGGCCTCTGTGGCACTGCATGGGTACACTCAGGCATACACATTATATACCTAAAATAAATAAATGGATTATTAATTAAAGGGGCCTGGAGAGATAGTTAAGTGGCTAAGGGCACTGTTTGCTCTTCCAGAGGACTCAGGTTCAATTCCCAGAACCCACATGGAGCTCAAACCACATATAACTCCAGTTCCAAGGGATCATATGACCTCTCTGACTTCTGTGGATACTGCATGCTCATGGCACACAGACATACATGCTGGCAAACCACCCATACACATGAAGTAAAAGGAAAATTAAAAAGTGGAATAGAATCCCCCCAACCCTAAAATGTCTAGGCAGATGTTTATATACAAGGGCTGCATTACTTTTTTGCTAGGGACTTGAACATCTTCAGGTTTTGGAATGTGGTAGTGGGATCTTGGAATCAACCCCCTCCCTCCCCCCCAAAAAAAGATACTGAGTAAAAACTGACTGTATACTGCCTGAGATTATCTATTTGAGGTCAGCATGCATGCATTTGAATCCTTCCTCCACAATGAGATGTAAGTTATCTTACCTTTCTGGGCCCCAGTTTCTTATCTGAAAAACAGATAGTTGAGGCAGTATAGTTAATAGTTTCTGTTATAGTAGTTCTTGTCCCTCATAAAGCACTATATAAATTATATATCTATCTTAGAACACCATACTTCTTTCCATTTAGTTGATTCCCAAGAAATTGAGTGGAGTGGTTAGGTGACTTGCCCAAAGACATAGGCATCTTGAGTAACAGAGTCAAATCTCGAACACAGACATAGCAAGCTTGAATGGCGTATCTTAAAGCCAGTGTGCTCAGCTGCCTACCAGGACATGCAGGTGGATGCTTTGCTTTCTCAGAGGGCTCTACAGGAGGCATGGGCAAATGGGTACAGGGTACAGGTGGGCAGCGGAATCGCATGACTGTTGGACACACGACCTTGATTTGGTTTTGTGTTCCATACTATGGGATGGTAGCCTGACTTCAGGCTCATTTTGGAGAGTGGTCAGTGTTATGACTTTACCCAGGGAGTCAAACTATCCTGGGATTCCTTGTCTCATTTTAGGTGACTTCATTGAAATAATTGTTACCCCTATCCCCCAACCGCCCCATTTGCCTCTGTGCCTTAGGTTCCTTATCTATCAAAGGTGAGAGATTGAATAGCTCATTGTATAAAAATATTTGAAAAGCATAAATAATACCCCAAATTAAAACCACCATAATCATTCTTAACCATATCAATTAGGTTCACATCGGAGTCTCTTAGGCTGCCATACCAGCCTTCTGCTAGTGATGCTGTGTGACAGATGGCATAACCAGCTGTGGCGTGTTCTGCAGACTGGTTTGGAGCCTTGTCTCCTTTTCTGGGTTTAGACATTCCTCTGTGAACATAAAGTAGTAGCTGTGTATAATCTCGGCCCCTGGGAAATTTTCCTTCAGTGTGGAATTCTGTAGTCAAGACCCATTGTCTGTGTCCAGGGTCCATAGTTGGCCCAGCTACCATTCTGGGAATGCTGCCAAGTCTTGGTTTCAGCTCCTGGCACAAGGCAACCTTGGGCTCATGTGCTTTAGTTCCTATAACTGTTTCCTCTCATTAGCACACAGACTTGATTCTGCGCTTGCACTGAAGGGAGCAGGGAAGCAGCTGACAACTTCTCTGGAGTTCTTGTCTCCTGGGCTTGCCTTGGTGTCTGTGTGTATTGTGTGTGGGTGTGTGTAGGTGTGCGTGCCAGGGCTTGAGACTTTGCCTTGGATGTACCACCTGGCAATTTTTTTTTCTCCAGAGTTAGTAGTCCAGCACTGAGCTTTATTTTATGTTGTCTTTTTTTTTTCATTTTGGTCTTTTAAAAATTAATTCTTTGAGGATTTCATACAGCATATCCTTATATTCTTTTTCATCCTCTCAGCACTTCTGTTTCGAAAGAGATAGGAAATGGGTGAGAGAGTGTTGGACGTGGGGAGGGCAAGGAAGGTCTTTCTGGAAAACTGTCAGAATTGGCCGTGCTCCTTAGTACTCATTCTAAAATAGGGTAAACCCTCAACAGACACCCAGGGATCCCATGGAGAAATGCATTATTTTTGGAGCTGGACTTGACCATACCTAGGGTTCCTCTTTTTTTTTTTTCATTTGAATATGAGTTTCTTAAACCCTCCATTGAATGTTCTTTTCAAATGAGGAGTAAACTTTTAAATTCTCTGCCATCTGCTTTTTCAAGAGTGGAACTATAAGGTTGTTTCTTCAAATGTTTTCTACAGAGTATTATTAGTATTTTAATTATATATATATATATATGAGAGAGAGAGAGAGAGAGACAGAGACAGAGAGAGACAGAGACAGACACAGACATATTTTTTTTGGTGGCCTTGGCTGACCTAGAACTAGCTCTGTATACCAGGCTAGCCTTGATCTCACAGAAGTTCGTCTGCCTCTGCCTCCCGAGTGCTGGGATTAAAGCCGTGTGCCACCATTGCCTGGTAGAAATATATTTTTCCTAAGGAAGCACTTCAGAAATCACCATACAAACCACTGAAGTTCATTTTTCACCAGTGGTCTTCATGGTGCATCTCAGAATGGATATGTTCCTACATGTGACATCCATTCAATTTGAATACACTTTTCCTGGTAGAGAGTTTTCCTTGTGCCATTTTTGTAAAATGCAGCTTGGAATATGCCAGATGAGATGAGAAAGTTCAATCGTTTTGTTCTTTTTTTTTTTTTATTGTGACAGGAGGTGAAAGGATGGAATGTCCCGATTGCCACCTTGTGGGTCCTGAAGGCTAAGGGTGTATAGCAGAATCTAATGCGCCGTCTGTTCTGAATGTCTCTCTGTCTTCCCCCCACAGCTCCCCTTTGAACTGGAGATTTACTACATTCAGCATGTTATGCTCTATGTGGTCCCCATTTACCTGCTTTGGAAAGGAGGTAAGACTAGCATAGCACACGGCTCTGGATTCTCCACGCCTTTCCTTTCTCTCTGTCTGGAGGGGTTACATTCTTTTGGGTTCCTACCAAGATCTTTGGTGCTGCTTGGCTGAGTGTCTACAGCATGCTTAATGTCGGCCACCAGGCACTGGGGCATGAAAGAGGCCTGCAAAGAGTCTGGGTACTGTTCAGAATCATCCCTTGTCTTTGAGCATGGTACCACTGACTGCCTGTCACAGAACCTCGGTGTTGGGTTCTTGGTGGTGGCCTGGGATGTGCATGGAACCCAGCACACTGTGTCGTTCTTATGCTTCTGCCTCCCCCTGCGCCATCGCGCACCTCAGATTAGGAGAGAAAGAAGGTACTCCATCTTCTCAAGAAAGAGACTGCAATCTTGCTCTTTGAGTCCATGGTCTCAGAACCAGAAAAGCTACGGAAAGGGGCTAAACATACACAGACTAAGAGATTATGGAATTGAAGATGTGCACAGAATAGGAGATTAGCAGATTGAAGACGTGCACAGAAAAGGAGATTAGGGGATTGAAGACGTGCACAGAAAAGGAGATTATGAGATTCTATTTTGTGCACAGAATAGGAGATTATGGGATTAAAACTGTACAGAATAGGAGATTATGGGATTGAAGACATGCACAGAACAGGAGATTAAAGGATTTAAGACATGCACAGAATAGGAAGAGATTATGGGATTGAAACCGTGCCCAGAATAGGAGATTATGGGATTGAAGACACACACAGTATAGGAGATTATGGGATTGAAGACTTCACAGAATAGGAAATTATGAAATTGAAGATGCGCACAGAATAGGGTATTATGGGATTGAAGAAAACATAGCATACGCGATTATGGGATTGAAGAAAGCATAGCATATGCGATTATGGGATTGAAGACTACACAGAAGAGAAGATTAGGGAATTGAAGAAGTGCACAGAGGATATTAAGAGACTTAAGCCAAGCACAGAATAGGATATTATGGGATTGAAGATGTGCATAGCATAGGAGATTATGGGATTGAACACGTGCAGGGAATATATTATGGGATTGAAGACATGCAGAGATTAGGAGATAAAGGGATTGAAAACATGCACAAAATAGGAGATTATGGGCTTAAAGACTGCAAATAATAGGAAATAATGGGATTGAAGATGTGCACAGAATAAAAAATTAGGGGATTGAAGACATGTAGAGAATAGGAAAGGATAATGGGATTGGAAACATGCCCAGAATAGGAGATTATGGGATTCAAGACTGCACAGAATAGGAGTTTGGGAGATTGAAGGCATATTCTGCACAGAATAGGAGATTATTGCATAGAAGTGTACAGCCTGGGAGATTATGGCATTGAAGAAATTCACAGAATAGGAGATTATGGAATTGAAGACGTGCACAGAATAGATTAGGAGATTGAAGACATGCACATAATAGGAGATTATGGGATTGATACATCCAAAAAATAGAAGATCAGGGGATTGGAGAAGTGCACATAATAGGAGATTATTGGATTGAAGATGTGAACAGAATAGGAGATTATGGGATTAAAGACATGAAAAGAATAGATTAGGGATTGAAGGCATGCACAGAATAAAAGATTATGGGATTGAAGACATACACAGAATAGATTATGGGATTGAAGGTGTTCACAGAATAAAAGATTATGGGATTTAAGATGTGCACAGAATAAAATATTATAGGACTGAAGATGTACACAGAATAGATTACAGTATTAAAGATGTGCACATAATAGATTAGGAAATTGAAGACATGCACAAAATAGGAGATTATTGGATTGAAGATATACATAGAATCGATTAGGGAATTGAAGATGTACACAGAACAGGAGATTATCGGATTGAAGTCTTGCATAGAATAGGAGATTAGGGGATTGAAGACGTACACAGAATAGAAGATTATGGGATTGAAGACTTGCATAGAATAGGAGATTATTGGATTGAAGATGTGCAGAGATTAGATTAGGGGACTGAAGACATACAGATAATAGAAGATTATGGTCTTGAAGACGGCACAAAATAGGAGATTATATGATTGAAGAAGTGCACAGAATAGGAGATTAGGAGATTGAAGATTTGTACAGAATAGGAGATTATGGGACTAAAGACATGCACAGAAGAGATTATGGGATTGAAGGTGTTCACAGAAGAGAAGATTGAAGACATGCGAGGATAGTAGATTAGGAGATTGAAGAGGTGCACAGAGTAGATTATGGGATTAAATATGTGCAGAGAATAGCGGTTTGAATACATGCACAGAATAGATTATGGTATTGAAATCATGCACAGAATAGATTAGGGGTTTGAAGACATGCATAGAATAAGAGATTAGGGGATTGAAGACATTCATAGAATAGGAGATTATGGGATTGAAGACATGTACATAATCAGAGACTAGGTGATTGAAGGCATGAACATAATAAAAGATTATGGGATTGAAGAAGTGGACAAAATAGGAGATTAGGGGATCAAAAATGTGCACAGAATAGAGGATTGAAGACATGCACAGAATAGGAGATTATGGGACTGATGTATTGAACAGAATAGGAGATTAGGAGATTGAAGGCATACTCAGACTATGAGATTAGGGGATTGAAGATGTGTGCATAATGGGAGAATGTGGGATTGAAGATGTGCACAGAATAAATATTATGGGACTGAAGACGTGCACAGAATAGGAAATTAGGGGATTGAAGATGGGCACAGAATAATTTAGAAGAGTGAAAACGTGTACAGAATAGGAGATTATGGGTTTGAAGTTGTGCTCAGAGTAGCAGTTTATCGGATTGAAGATGTACACACAATAGGAGATTTGGGGACTGAAGATGTGCACAAAATAGAAGATTAGGTGATTGAAGACATACACAGAAGAGGAGATTAGGGGATTCAAGACATGTACATAATAGATTATGGGAATTGAAGACATGCACAGAATAAATTATTATGAAATTGCAGACATGCATAGAATAGGAAATTAGGGGATTGAATATGTGCACAGAATAGATTAAAGGATTGAAGGCATACACAGAATATGAGGAGATTATGGGATTGAAAATGTGCACAGAATAGTAGTTTAGGTGATTGAAGACATGAACAGGAGATTATGGTATTGAAGGCATACACAGAATGGATATTAAAGGATTTAAGATGTGCACAGAATAGGAGATTAGGGGATTGAAGACATACACAAAATAGATTAGGTGCTTGAAGACCGGCACAGAATAGGAGATTATGGGATTGAAGTCATGCACACAATAGGAAATAAGGTGATTGAAGACTTGCACAGAATAGTAGAAGATTATAGGATTAAAGACATGCACATAATAGATTAGGGGATTGAAGACTTGCACAGAATAGGAGATTATGGTATTGAAGATGTGCACAGATTAGATTAGGGGAATTAAGACCTGCAAAGAATAGTTGATTATGGGTTTGAAGACTGCACAGAATAGGAGAGTATGCGATTGCAGTCGTGCACAGAATAGGAGATTAGGGGCTTGAAGACGTGCACAAGATAGGAGGTTATGGGATTGAAGATGTGCACAGAATAGGAAATTATGGTATTGAAGGCGTTCATAGAAGAGCAGATTATGGGATTGAAGACATGCAAAGATAGGAGGTTAGGGAATTGAAGAGATACTCAGAATAGGAGATTAGGGCATTGAAGACGTGCACAAAATTATATGAATGAATACATGCACAGAATAGATTAGGGGTTTTAAGACATGACTAGAATAGATTATGGGATTGAAGTGTTTTAAGATGTGCATATAATTGGAGATTAAGGGATTGACGGCGTGCACAGAGTAAAAGATTATGGGATTGAGACATGGACAGAATAGAAGATTAGGGGATCAAAGATGTGCACAGAGTAGATTAGAGGATTGAAGACTTGCACAGAATAGGAGATTATGGTATTGAAGATGTGTACAGAATAGGAGATTAAAAGATTGAAAACATGCACAGGAGATTATGGGATTGATGTATTAAACAGAATAGGAGATTGGAAGATTGTAGACGTGCACAAAATAGGAAATTAGGGGATTGAATATGCATACAGAATAGATTAGAGGAGTGAAGACATGTACATAATAGGAGATTATGGGATTGAAAACACGCACAGGAGATTAGGGGATTAAAGACATGCAAAGATATATTATTGAAGATGTGCACAGAATATGAGGAGATCATGGGATTGAAATTGTGTACAGAATAGGAGAATAGAAGATTGAAACATTCAGAGAATAGGAGATTAAGGAATTTAAGACGTGCAGAAAATAGGATATTATGGGATTGAAGACATGCACAGAATAGGTGTTTAGTGAATTAAAGACTTGCACAAAATAGGAGATAATGGGATCAAAGACATACACAGAATACAAGTTTATGGGATTGGAGCTGGGCACAGAAGAGATTAGAGGATTTAAGACATACACAGAATAGGAGATTATGGGATTGAAAGTGTGAGCAGCATATTAGATTAGGAAATTGAAGATGTGTGCATAATAGGACATAATGCAATTGGGACTGCACTGAATAGGAGATTATGGGATTGAAGACATACATAGGAGACTAGGGGATTGATGTTGTACACATATTAAAAGATTATGGGATTGAAGATGTGCACAGAATAGGAGATGATGGGATTCAAGATATGCACAGTACAGGAAATTATGGGATTGAAGACACGCACAGAGTAGAAGACTAAGGAATTGAAGGTGTGAACAGAATAGAAGATTATGGAATTGAAGACATTCACATATAGGCAATTATGGGATTGAAGATGTGGACAGAATAATAGATTAGGGGATCTAAGATGAGCACAGAATAGGAAGAGATTATGTGATTGAAAAGTCGTACAAAGTAGGAGATTAGGTAATTGAAGATGTGTACAAAATAGGAGATTATGGGTAGAGAATGCACAGAATAGATTATGTAATTGAAGACATGCACAGATTAGATTAGGGGATATA